GAGAGCTGACAAGACTGCCGGTAGAGGCAGGCGCAGAGACGAGAAGCAAAACACAAGAAGGTTGCACAACTTGCATGCATCTGTTGAGCTAATGCGTGGACATGTGTGGAGAAAAAGATAAGCGAGCTGCGTGTCAGTGAGTGAATTTATCAACAGTCCCACGTATCGCTGGACATGTTTGCCACGTGTCATCTGAATCGTGTCTCCTCCTTGTGCGCTGGACTGGTGCGTTACATAACAGGCAGCGTGCACGGTGTAAAGACAGGGAGGTATGAGACAGAGACAGACGGAGAGAGACGAATACAGAGACAGATACCGTGCACCTAAGTACACACACACACACACAAGATCCAAACCAATCTGCTCAGCTAATGGTGGTGACTAAACAGATTGTTACAAGCTTGTCTTTTTCAGGTAGGACCAGCTTTTAAGGTATACTGTGTGGTCGGGCACTGAGTTATACAACACTGTTGTCAAAAGTGCAGCAGTGTTTAAAAGAATATGTGATTGGAGGAGACCATTTTGAATGAATATGCCAATTTTGTTACATAATTCTTTGTTAAAAATAGACAACAAACGACGTTACCATGGTAGAAGATTTGAGCCTCACTGCTCAGTCCAGTTACACTTTGCATCTTGATTAATGCTTAAGTAAAGACGGCCATTTTATGATAAAGTATTCTTGCTTTTTTTTAAAGTAACAGGTTGACAATGTAAAACACTGTCTCGGAATACAGAAGCACGACAGGACACAGATGGCTCGGATTTTCCAAAATTGCTGCAAATTTCAAGGAAGTTTTTGACTGAAATTGGGGGGTAATATATAATTATATCTTTCAGCATTTTTATTCAGAGGCCAATTGGTCCAACAAGAGTCATCTGAAATAAATACAGTCTCCTTAAACAGTTTTGGTCGGCAGGTACAAATGATGGGGATGTTCAGAGTCTCTCAAGGTCACACGGCCGTCCTCACGCTGAGCGTCAAACATGACAGAAACCCCAGAGAGACACGTGTCTCCTCTAAGACAACCGGAGTTCTCTCAGCCTTCTTCTGCTGCTTCTCTCTCCTGCCACAGATTAATTTTCAAATAATTAGGTAAGTCTGTCATGTGGAACAACAGTCTTTCAACAGTTACTGCTTCTGACCTTTTCCCCAAAGCCCTGTGAACACATCGGAGATACGGCAACAGCCCACTCAACAGCTTGAGAGCTCAACTCTCACACTCTCCAAAGGCCTTCAAAGAGGAAAACATAATTACAAGCAACCTAATCATGAAATTAAAATGACTGTAAACATAGCACACCTGGAAGCCAACCATAATGGACCACACAGCGTCTCTGCTTTGTCTGCGTAAATTCCAGCCATAATGTACGAATCATCTTGACATCGTGTCAAGTCATCAATTATGTAAAATTTTAACATGTATGTATGGGCCTACCTACCTGCATAAGCTTCAAACGTGGCGTGTATGCTGATCAGTTAGGGGGGGTGGGATCACGAGAACTACTTGTTACCACTGTTTCAAAAGCAATGCAAAAAAATCGAATGAAATAATCCAATAAAATAAAAAAAATCACAATCATCTCAAGCTTGAAATTTTCTGTTTGCTTGAAGCAAATACGTAAGTACAATTGTTACAAAATTTCAGTCTCAAAAACCGCACCTCAACGGACTTTGCTATCATAATTAAAGCGAATTGCAATATAATTATACTCTGACTTGCAAATTGTAATTTAGATGCAATGTTAGAGCTGTGGACACCTGAGGTAGAGGGACAACTACCACTCCTGAATAGGGCTGCATTTTTTGCCAAAAATCTAAAATTTAGAATTTAATAAATTTAAAAAGAGTTTCAGGACATAATACCCAATACTTGTATTACATTTTTTCAGTGAACAAAAGAAGCCAAATTTCTTAAAGTTAAATCTTGCCTCAACACAAGCCAAAGTACAAGAACTGGTAGAATTTGAATTTAAATCAGGCTCTATCGATCAAGAAACTTAGAAGACATTAAATCTTTTTGATGCCAGCTTTTGATACACTTTCGACGCTAAGGACCCATTTTGGATGGGACCCAAAAGTATTTAGGCTTGATACCCAGCCCTAGTCAGAAACATCCTTTAGTTCAAACACCTCCAGTAAATCTGAGTTGACAACATCATTATGCGTGTGTGTGTGTGTGTATGTGTGTCTTTGTAAACTCACTTTCTGAGTATTCAGGTAGTATGGGTCCAGATCCTCCAGTGGTACCGCCACCATTCCTTTAGGGGTGTCCCCATAGATGTAGGGCAGGCTCTTCCCAGCCTCCAGGTCGCTGTTGGGCCTGGGCTTGTTCTCGTCATCATCGTCGCGGTAGCTGCTGTCCTGTTTAGGTGGCTTCCTGTTCTTCTCCTCAGCGATGCGCTGCTCAAGGGTCTTCAAAGATTCCACAGTAAACTTCTTGAAGCTATCAGGTCCTGGAGGAAGAAGGGGTGCAGCCATGTTTTCATCCTGCAGCTACTTGGTCTTTAGGTGTGTACCATCCACAGTAGCAGCTCTGCAGGAGGAGCAGAAAGAGATGAAAGGTCAAAGCAAACGTTGAGATGTATGTATGTTTACACAAACACAAACATTTACAGATTTTGTTCTGAAGTAATAATGATATCAAAATGACAACCACTGTAAATGCAAAATATTTGATCCCACTCTAGAATGGAAAAAAATGACTATAGATAACATGATGGCGACATTAATTACAGTAAAGTGAAATGTACCTTTAAGGATATTATGCTGTTAAGCTCCCTTCACTTGTATCTCAGTTAGGGAGATAAGATGAACAAAAACACGAACGTGTGTTAAATTATCCTTTAACATCACCAAAATCAATACAATGGTGCAGAAAAGACAAACATTCTGTGAATCTAACTGGTACCTTAAAAAGTTGCTTAGTGGCTGGTTAAATAGATAAATAAAATAAATAGACTAGATATAGGTAGTAAGTAAGACTAGTTAAGATTATAATTAGGCGATGGCCAGTGGAACATAAGGTACCAAACGTTTCCCCATTAGAAATCTAACCAAATAATAATCGAGTCAAAGTGTTTTTGTAATATAACTTTTGTTGATTTTAGAATTAATATATTATAAAGAAAGAGACATCTGATAATACATTTTCCATGGTTCATGCTAGCAAATATATCGTGTCTATGTTTGTATGAAAAACTGCATTGTTGGTCATTTACAGAGGTTTATGAGTTCTATTTATAAACCCCAGATATAAAGCCTTAACAACAATTCTCTTACTCTGCTATTATTTTTTATAGCAAATTATATAAGGATTTTACAATGTCTAAGAAGTATTACATAGCAATTTGATGTTGAGTGTTTTGTTATGAATCTCAAGCTCTTACAGAGCAAAGCAAGCAAAAAATAAAGTTATTTACATATTTGAGAGACATTTTTCTCAGTTAGTCTTATGTCCAGGCAACAGTGGTATAAAGGTGTGACTAAGTATGAGCCAATACTTCTCCCAATGTTGGCAATAAGTTACAGGCCCTGCATTAAACCTCTGACAACAAAGACAACAGGACCATTTAAGGACTTGTGATTTTTTGAATAGCTTTGGAAACGCTAACAGAGAACCCAGGACTCAGTGGAGCCTTTTTCCAACACACTTAGGATGTAAAAATGGTATGATGGTTACATGACAACTGTTCAAGCTGCAGGACATTTCAGGGTCAATATACTAATGTGAGGCAGTGCTGAAGGAAAGAGGAGGGAGCCAGCAGGAGAGGAGTTCAGCAGCCACACCTGAACTGAGACTATTTTGAAAGCTGGTATAATTTCAACACTGAATTTCACACAACAAACTTTTGTTTTTAAAACCAAATGTGGTGGAGGGAAAGTGGATGCATGATAAGACGAACACCGCCTCAACCATCGCTGATTCACAAGGCCTGTCACTCCCCTCTTGCATAACACCATCTAATTAAAAACGCTCAACGTGTAATGCTGATATCACACAGCAAAGGCTCGATCTGGCCTGGTATGAGAGGGGGGGTGGGTGAGAAAAACACATGAAAACATGCATCCTGTGAGCCAAGACGTCTGTTTTAAAATGGACCCCGGAACCTCGCAGTCACTGAGCCTTCTGCCGTTCTGCTGGCGCCGTCCGCTTCAGCACCACACGAGCGCGCACGCACACACACACACACACACATACATGGACACGCACATACGTATGCGCGAATGCATACATGCAGGGTTGAAGAAAATCGTAACCGATCTGCCTGGAGAGTAAAAAAAAAGCGTGCAGTGAAGTAGGCCTCTCCCGTAGGCCTGCAGTTTATCCTTCGAATTCTCTTCAATGTTATTAAGTCAAGATGACAACACTCGTCTTGTTGTGTCTCAGGCTTGTGGGTTGCACATTGCTCACACCCAGGCATGGCCATGTAATCGTTTTCACAGAGAAATATGCACATTTCGGGATCTTCCCAGTCGTTTTCTCGTTCACATAGACGCGGTGATAAATGGAGACCTGATTTTTGAACCTGTTAATTAAGAAGGAGGGCCCGTAGACGCCATTATGTGGCGTTTTTGTCCTAGTATATAGCCTATAATTAAATAGAAAAGTCCTGCTCGGCCACAGAGAGAAGCAGGAGGTTATAATACGCAGAGAAGTGTCCCGCAACGACCAAATTGGCCAAAGCAACATTGCTGCAGTGTGGCTTGTATGTTGAAAATGTCACGCTGTGGTAAAGGCAACCCTGGATTTGTCATACTCAAGTCAGATGTCGATGTATCTTAATAAATCAGAGTAATAAGTCCCTCTTGTTATTCAGCAAAAAAGAGGCCAAATTGGATTGATGTTTTTTTCTGGGACATTCTGTGCGGGGTTTTTTGCGCGTTGCCTTGAAGGATCTGCACCACACCCGTGAAGCCATGTCGACTGCCAAATCAATAAGGGCTCTATCTGTGCTCAAGATAGCCCAGAGTATGAAGCTAGACAGCAGCATGAAACACACACACACTGTCTACAACATGAGATGAAACATAACAAATAAGACCATTAGAGAACAGTTATGAAGCTGCCACACCAAAATCACCTGGAGGAATGAATAGCCTAAATGTCTTGGCTGTTGATGATGAACGGAGGATCAGGCTACTCACATAGCATCAGCCCGTTTTTCGAAGCCGTATGGTGTTTCAAGTGTATCATCTTGTAGTCCGGAGGGTATACAAAATCAAAAATAGTGACCAAAATTTTAAGGAAATCTTCGCTTTCTCGGGCTGGAGCAATTAGATTGCGCCCTACCTGACGCCTAACCTATGAGGCATCTTCTCTCGCAAACGTCTTATCAGTGCCTCGGATGCTCGACGAAATGGTTAAATCGACAAATTCCTTGCGATCAACATCAATTGTTAAAAAAAAAAAAATTCCCCACCCTGCTCCGATCCAGCCGATAGATGCTCACCAAATGCAGACACCCTCTTCCATCCCGCTCCAAATGGAAGGGGGGGGAAAGATGCGGGGCAGTGTGCAGCTCTGCGACATTTACGCAAGGATACCGACAGAGAGGAAATCTACCTTCAACACATGCACTGTTTTCTCAAACGGTTATAAATGAAGCATACTCACTTTGTATGCGTTACAGTGAATCCAGGAAGCCGTTGCAGGACTGCAGATGTGGGAAAGATTGGGGAGAAACTGCGGTTGTCGCCATATTGTTGCTGCTATCTCCCCCCTCAGCGCGAGCAGTTCCCCTGCATAATTGATGACTCTCAGCAGAATGCAAGGGAGTGTCTGCAAGTGCGTTTTCGTAAAATCGTAAAGGTCATTTAGGCCTTCAGCCTCTAAACCCCAGTGTGCGGTTCACAGCTCCCCGGGCTCAGTGAGGAGCCTGGGTGAGATTGTGCGCAGAAAACACGCGCAAGGTTTTTCTGTCCAAACGCACTGGCTCGCTGTGTGTTCAGTGCGGACTTAGGACTTTATTGGCTGTCAGGCTGTGGGCATTCAGTCAGAGGCAGGTTCCTGAAGGCCACTGCATGTCTGAGATATACAGAGACAGGAAAAAATCGTTTAACATGATGTTTCAAAGCCTGCAAATATATCAAACTTATAATAAACTCATGTTACATTTACTGCAAATAAAAAGTGTATTTAAGCGCAAATGCATTTAAAAACATGTTAACAACAATGTTACGTATAGGTGGGATGTATTCTGGCCATGCAATTCAACTACGGCCAACATATTCTGGAGCATCTAGAGTAATTGCGAACTATTTTCATTTAAAGCCTCTGCAGCAGACCGCTGCCCTCCTCCCGCACTCTGCTCTTTAATAGCAAAAATTAATATGCAAGTAGGCAGATCTTTGTCTGGTAACCTGCCCCCTGTCTTTTGATGTTACGTAATTTGTGTGAATGAATACAGCTGAACTGAAAATCAATCAAAAAAGCCTTTAAAATCAATTTAAAGTCTGTAGATTTGGGACATTATGTCAGTCAGTATAATAGGCTATAGTTATATTGGAATTTTAAAAAAAGTATATATTATTTATATATTATTAAATTATTATATATTAGTTATTTGTCATTTCATTTTTCGACGCAGGGCAATCGAGCTAAACGTGCATATGATGTCATTAGTCGGGAAGGAAGCTGTTTTTGTTTGCGGTCAAAAATGTCTTGAGGAGTTTTAAACCAACACATCCATGCATGGCTAAATGGCGTTCAAGGCGCCGCTACTGTTTGTGAGTGCTCTGTGTTTGACTACACTGACTTCAGCACAGCACAGTGAGTAAAACCAGGGGCGGGGAGGAAATCAGTAGCCCTTTTATGTAGTTTTTTTTTTTTTTAATTGCTAATTATTTTTTCACTTTTTATGAACTATTCAGCCACTTTAAAGGGCGACAGTTACACAGCAGCAAACAGTTGTAGCTACATTATGTGCAACAGTATGCCACTTTCAACTTGCAATCTCAAAGAAAGTTTTCTGATTCCTGAAGCTCTAAGATTGGTTGGCAGGCAAATGGCTAGCCAAGATGTCATATTGATCCACACAATTCACTAGGTTTACTCACAGAACCCTTCAAAATAGCCATATGTTTTGATAATTCCTCTTGAATTGAGAAGTTGAAATGTACTCTCCCTTCTACCTGAATAATATTTAAAGTGACACTATGTAACTTTGGAATGAAGAAAGTAGCACAATCTCCATATGCAAATAAAAGGTGTAATTCATTGGCAATAAAACGCACCCTTGCTCAGTTTAATACACTCAGGGGTTTTGCTTATACAGCCTTACTTGGTCTGTTATGACCAGTAGCTTACCTGGTGTAGCCTACATATTGTTGTGTAACTCACATTACAAAGTCAGTTTATGATGCTACTTGTGCTAGTGTGTAGCATGTAGCCTAAACGATAAACATTTGAATGGTTTTAGCACAAAAGGAAAACAAGAAGTAAACATGCCATACCCAAACAGGAGATATTCTGATGTCACCTCCGGCCTAGCTGAAGTTGTGACTCAAGGCAATCTCTCATTGAACATTTCAACAACAATAATACTACAGCTTCCATGAAAATGTACAGCTGTGGCAGTGCTCATACTTTACTGTCATCATTATTTGATTGGCATAGCCTATTGAAAATACTGACATTGGCTATTCAAATTATTTGTATTGTCAAAAAAAACAAAGATAGATCATTTATAGTGATATAAATAGAAAAGCAGCAAATCATCACCTGGCAACTCTTCTAGCATTTGTGCTTGACAACAAATTTAATGAACAAATGAATAAATAATCTGTTGATTGAACAACATTGTTGATTGTTTCAGAACAAATTTAAATCTTACATTAAGAGTCACACACACTGTACACACCTCAAGTGTGTGCTGGTGTGTTGTCTCCAACAATGTAAACAGAATGTTATTTCAAAAACTCACATGGAAGCGTTGTTTGATTGTGCTTGTGAGGCTGTGGGCAGCGGCTCCTGGTCGCTCCCCCAGGTGCTTCTCGTATATTGGGGGGCCAGGGGGCTCCTGAAGGGGCGTGGCCATGGCAGGTCAGCATCCAGATCCAGTCCATGCACCACTGTGGTGGGACGATCATCAACAGCCTCTGGGTGCTCACTGCAACACACTGCTTCCACAAATACCTGTGAGTAAAAATTACACACCTCACAGAGAAGTGAAACTTGTGAAAAATATAATTCTAGATCGGTAGAAGCTGGGTTGCGAAACACACATTGCCTGTAACGAACAGTGACAGTTTTGTGGCCACGCAGGAGAAATACTGCTGTGATTCAGCCCATTTTGACCCAGTGTTTTAGCAGCATGATTTCCACCTCTGGGCTGTGGTGATTTATTTACTTTTTCGTTTTCTGTTTGACATTTTCTCCTTCTCTGAATGCGTGTGTTGGATAGTGTGTGCACATATATATTTATAGGTATGTTCATCAAGATGTTAAACAGAGATTATCACGTCTTTCGGTTTTCCTCTCACATCAAACATGAACAAGAACAGATCTATACAGTACTTGAACAATTATAATTATATACAATTATAACATGCATGTATAATAAAGGATACCAGTTCACAGGAGCTAATGAAACGAGCCTTTGTGTGCTATTTAATATAGGGAAATGGATAGCAGGCTTGGCATGTAAATGAAAATGGGGTTGATGGGTGAGTGGACAAGAAACAAAAGCAGCTCAGTGTCATGAACAAATCTGTCTGTTTCATGTCCAGAAAGATTGTCAGAAGCCATTTCCGTGTGGTAGCAGGACTTCATGTGTTATCTGCTCCAGGAGATGAAGCCCAGATCCGGTCCATCCGTGAAGCAAAAATGCACAAGGACTACAATGAAGTCACATCTGACAACGACGTGACACTCGTGCTCCTCAGCTCTCCCTTCATCTTCACTGACTATGTCCAACCTATCTGCACTCCTCATAATGTGACTCATGAGTTCACCCTCAACTTCAGCCACTGTTTCATCACTGGATGGGGGAGCACCCATTACAAAGGTTGGTTTAAAAACTCACTGATTCTGCAGCATTGATGTGGAAGGCATGATGATGATCTTTCAGTTGCACTTTAGCAAGACACTGAATCCCTGTCGGCTTCTACGCCTAACTCCCTGCTGGGGAGGGAGAAGTTACCACTTTGCAACAAGACACATTAAACGTTACTGAACCAAGAAGTCCTTTGGAATGAAAAATAAGATATTTAGCATGGCTCTTTTATAACATTTTTAGACTCACAATGGACAGCTTTAAAATAATTGATGCAGCAGAATCAGAGATATCGTCTTCTTTATCCCACACATTCTTCTTCCTTGTTGCCTACATTACACACAGTGCAACACAACTTGAATCACTGACTGTACAGATTTGGGGGTGTGATTTGGGGGGTGTTATGTTAGTAACTAATGTAGCTTCGAGCTGCTAGTCTAAAGCAGAGATGAGTCTCCAACCATTTATCAGATTTTATGCAGCTCCCTCTGGAGCCACAAAAGGCTTTTTATAACATTATTCAAATATGCAGTAATTCTTTTCCAGACCTGTGAACAGACTTCATCAGCGGAGTTCCCCTTTAAGGGAGTAGCATGGTTACAAAGATTTGAAAGATACGAGAATTATAAAATCAAGTCAAAGTAAACAGTCAGGGAGGACAATCAGTGAATTCAAAAACATTTTGAGAAAAACAATTACAATCTTCCGTCAGATGTCTTTTATCGAGGCTTTATTAATGGTAAATTACTAATTTATTGATGTTTTGCAGATGAATAATACATATTACAATATACAAATTAAATATATCTTTCTGCAAAAGCTGCAAACTCGACAGCTTATTTCAAAATGAAAACGTGTGATTCTTTATTAATGTCTTATCAACATTTACAACTGCAGATTTTCCACTTAAGGTGAGTTTTGCAATTACAAATATTTAAAGGTATAGCAGTGGTTTAAAGAAAGAAATTATGTAATGTGTGAAGAGAGGCAAGCTCAGCAACATATTGAACTCCTGATGGCACTCAGGGGCCCAACATGTGAGCCACTTTTGCAAAGACAAATATGAAAGTACATTTTAAGAAGTCCCGTTGAACAGCAGTCCAGCAGATCCGACACAAATGCCTTCACCCAGTCCTCTTCAAGACAAAGAAAGCTATAATTGATCAGTGTAGCAGGCATCTAATAGTACACATTAGTCAAAATGATATACGCCAACCAATGTGATCCAAATCTTAAAGTCCTAAAAAAGGCCTATCTAACTGTAACAACTGTGGCCACAAGTTACAATCACAGTATAATAGTAATGGCTGAAACGTAGGATAGCGTACCACAAGAGTTAGGTCAGTGAACTGACTGTAATGTCAGTTACATGGAAATATCTGCTACCGTTAACATTAGCTAACATTAGCCACTGTTAGCTATTCGTCATTGTAGATGATGTAAGGCGGTAGCAGCAAAACCCCTCAGTGTGTTGATTTGAGTGAGGGTGCATTTATGAATTCACCTTTTCATTTGTAAGAGGGACAATGTGTTTCTTCTTTCAAAAGTTAATTTGTCACTATTTAAATCAAATATCTCCCATTTCCCTGTGCTTTTTCTCAACTGGACATCTCTTTCTTATTTTCTTTATTACTTTAGGACTCTTTATTTGACTACTTTTTATTTTATTTCATTTATCCCTCTTTAACTGATTTTGTTCTCCTCTACAAATGAATAGATTATAACAGATTATAATGTAGTTGTAAGCAGATATAAGAGCATTCTAAGTGTTTATTAAAGTACAGTATTTGAAAAACTGTAAGTTATTTGATATTATTACATCAGTGTTTTACTATATTCTCATCCGTTGTCTGTTTATACAGCAGCCTCCACTTATTGGTGCCAACAGGAGGAGTTATAGTGTTTATTAAATGTTTATAAACTGCTTAAAAATGCTATATAGGGTTGAAATAAAGTGTTGCTTTATTCCCCCTGTGTTTTTAAATGTTGTTTACATACACCTACATAATTGCTTACCACTCCACAAAGTATTACTGCTCAAGTTATTAGTGACAATTTAAAAGCCCTTTAAAAGTAAAGTACCATTTGATTTATGTACTGCAGGCAGGCCGATGAACAGATTGCAGGAAGCGGAGGTGGAGCTCATTGGCAGGAGAACGTGTAACCTGTTCACATGGTACGACGGCCTCATCACTGATAACATGATCTGTGCAGGACTGGAGAGCGGGGCGGCTGATACCTGTCAGGTGATGATTCTTGGACATTTTTTAAAAACGTTCTACAGCCTACAGGTTTCATGTCAATAAAGACATTGCTGCCTTTCCGTGTCTCAGGGTGACAGCGGCGGGCCCCTGCAGTGTTATAGCGAGGACGAGGAGAGGTTTTATGTGGTCGGAGTGACAAGCTTCGGGGACAAGTGTGGACTTCCTCACAGGCCGGGGGTGTACGCCAGAACCAGCAGGTTTGCAGGTTGGCTGAAGACAAGTCAGACGGCATCAGTGTCTGCTGCACACAGACTGAACACAAGCGTCATCTCACCTCTGCTCAGTGCTGCTCTGATGCTGCTCCGAAACATCTGGACAGTCTGTCAGCAATAAAATGTCACTGCTATATCCATCAGGCTGTTTAAATGTTTTCAGCCATCTGGATATGTGATGAATCATTTCAAAAACCTTTATGGATTATTTTTTTAGTTTTAACATCATTACCACTCAGCCTGTTAGATCTGTGAGCCTGTTTAATGGCCTTACTCTGAGTGATGGTCTCCAACATGAATACAGTATTTTCTGCCAAAGTTGCAACAGCTTATTTTTAATACGTAACAACTAAGTTTAATTGTCACCTACGTTGTCTTGATTATTTCATGTTATAGAGTGTTACTTAAGATTTTAAACCAGTGTTTCAGTGGTTTTAATCAAAGTAAATCATGGTTTTGGTTTTGTTCTCCACAGGATGAACATGCATTGCTCCAAAGAAAATATGAACAAATCTTAAATTTAGCTGTCACCTCATAATTTAGGTACAGACCTCTAACCTATGCACATAAAGCTTGAGCAATTTCAGGAGTGGACAGGACAAAATATCTTCACAGTTACATTTACATTTACTGATTTGGCAGACACTTTCCTCCAAAGCAACTTATATTTGAGGAAGAACATAAAAGCATCAACAAAGCAAAGTACAGCACGAGATCTACAACTGACAATACATACTAGTAAGAGAACTAATAAATACTAGTAAGAGCTAATACCCCATATCGCATTAAATGGGGTCTTGGAGGAGATTGGTTGTACATTCACCTGCAACTAAAAATGACCAATAATCTATTTTTTTCACACTGCAGTTAAAGTTTACATTTATTCATATGCATAATATTATTGGTATCACTTTCTGATAAAGCCCGATTAATAGAGGCTTTGCAAGTTTATAAGTAGGTGTTATCAATGACCACCGTTCAGAATAACTTTCAGGTTATAAGGTTGTGACAAATCTCTCTGTCAAGGAGTCTTGCTTTGTGTTTTTTAGTGAGCTTTTAATTATTCAGGAAGACCCCTGCAATCGACCCCTCCTATTCTGGGAAAGGTTCTCAGAGCATCAGGGCCAAAATCTGTCTATTAACATTTTATTTACATTTACAATACTGGACTTGATGGCTAGAAAGTGAGACGCCCTTGAGCATTTATTAATGTATTACCAATATTTATTACCAAATAGAAAGCATAAAGCTGTGCAGACTTTTTCAAATCAATCTGCAACTTATTCTCAAGCAGGTTTCAAGAGTCTGCTGGTAGACTTTCATATAATACAGAAATGAATGAGACCAAAACATGTAAAACACAACAGTAATGAAAAGTGTGTACTAATTGTAGCAAATAGAATAAGTAAAACATGCAAAACAACTCCTGCTTAGTGAGGAATCGGTCAGGCAGTTAGTAAGATACCTTTTGCTATTATGAATCAAGTGATTTCATTGGTTTCTATTGACAGTAATGTTTACGATGCGAGTACTCGCAGGGAAGTATGTAGGTAGATGTGGTCAAAATCTACAGGAACTGGCAAATTCATAGGGGGAGCCAATTTCATTTTTTTCCCCAGATAGAGTAGTTAGACTGACACCTGGTGGAAGGAAGATGCTATTTTCCTTCAGTGCAGTAGCTGATTCCTGAAGCTTCCAGAGAGATGTTTGGAAGAAGAAGAAAAAACACAAGAAATTCTGACAAAGGATTTTTTTTATTTGACATGAAACACATCCAATGACAGTGTGACAGTGTTTTTGTCAAGTAAGACATGTTGTTAGAAGTTATCGCACCATTGACTAGTTCAGAATGTCTTTGCTGCAGCTCGACAATGCATAGTGAACAGACAGTCGTTGAGGTATACATTGTGGGCCCTTGAGTTTTTGTTTTTTGTGTGTGTGTAAGATCCTAATTTTATTTACCTCACAAGTACATTTACATTTTGTGCTTAGAATAACTTTGGAGGTTCAAAATGTCCGCCATTCCTCACAACAAGACAACTTGAAAACTGAAATAAATATTAAAATGGATATGTGGGAGTTGCCTGCTGAGAAACGTTTCATCAGATCTCAGAGCTGATGAAAACCGGTGATGAGGAACAGCGTTAGCAGTGAGGGAAATCATTGAAAATGTTGGCATGGAAAAAGAATGACTTCTTTTCACACAAAAAAGGGCATTCAAGAAGAAACCTTCTTTGTTATGACATTGGATGACAAAAGTCTGTCTACTTTCCCTTATTGAATAGCACCAATGTCTATTGAAAAGGCTTGAAGGCCAACATGGAATTATAAAACTTTATTAAAACTTGTCGGAGTGAAACAGTAGCAACAAAGCAATTATCACACAGTAGATCAGAAGCTTCACTTGGTTATTCATGATGAGTAACACTAACTTGCCCCAGATACTGGCTCGCATACATGTCATCAGTGTCCGTCACTGAATGAAAAGTGGTTTATTGTTGTACGTGTTGTGCTGTATGTTAAGCTGCTTCTAAATCAAACCAGCCGTTTGCAGAAGTTGTGCAGTTTTAAAGAAAGATTACATCAGGAAAACATCGATGAAACCCCTATAAAATATATTTGTTTCCAATTTTGGATGGAAAGAATTCAAATACAGTGGAGGCGACATAAAAAAAAGACAAGAAATAAAAAATAGGTTCAATATTCTGGGATCATTTTCTTACAAAAGACAAACCTTGTTGCACCATAAAAGCCAAATGTCACTGTCACACACACACTCACTCCCTCTTGGACACACACACATAAAATGATAGTGGGAAAGTGCACAATGTTCCTGCCAAAATAATCTGAAACCTTTTTTTTTTTTTCCACTTTTGCAATGTGAAACCATTAAATTAACAATGCAGAAAAATGCTGTCAAGTATGAAAGATCAGTCAAGTTTTTATCGACAAAGTTCATCTCCATGTACACATTAACACTAGTAATACAGTATTTGACCTCTAAAATACAGTTTACATACAACATCCTTACCCTTATTTATTACCCCCCCCCCCCTTTTTTTTTTAAACAGGAGGATTAGGCCTTTTTTTTAAATCACAGGTCGCTTAATGATTTTCTGTTCATTCCTAAATTTTTCAGTGTTACAGACATTCATAAATTGATGATGAAATGAGAAAGGCATGACCGCTAACACCTTCGTAAAACAACAAGATGCACCCCCCCCCCCCAACTAAAAAAAACAGTTGATACGAGTGTGTTTTGAGTTAGAAACTGGTCTGATTCCACGTGTGTGAAAAATGGTGGTATAGGTAATTTAATACACTTTTAGTACAGCTAGAAATGAGGGACTGAACATAAAAAGTACTAAAGTTCCACAGGTTTAGTAAGGCAAAGTTATGTCCTCATTCTTGATATCTTATTTTTAGGAAATTCAACAGTCTGTGATTATAAATGTCACGATGGTGCAATAAAAAGGCACTGACTTGCCTTCGGATGATCTACATTTATCTAATCAACTCTGACGCAGACATTAAATGATGGATGCTCTTTGCTTTGACATGGGAAACTACACACAGACCGAAAGTCAAACTCGAGGTCCACTTACTCGCTTGTTCTGGAGCCTTCAGTTGTATTACACAGGCCAGTCCTCAGCAGCAGACAGAGTCTGCTCACGTGTCAAAGAACTGCAGATGTTTTTATGACTTTAAGATCAATCTGCTTATGAAAACTGGTCGATATGGCTGGAACAAGAGACAAGTCGACTTTGAGTTGAGATTTGTTTTTGCCGGGGAAACTGTTTTCAAAGTCAAGAATGAACTGTCGAGCTTCAATCTGCCAGCTCTGCCTAGCCCCAGTTTATGCCTTTACATTCGATCCACGGGACTTTGGAAAACGCAGAAGGTCGTTTAGCAACACTTACCAGACTCTTCAAAGACTCTTCTAAGCTTCTGGATGAAAAAATATTATTTCTGCTGCCTCGGTTTCGTAATCCAAACAAAAGGTGGTAGAAACGACATAGATCACCTGCTCAATTTTACAATCTCAACCAAAATTATAAATTTTATCATCGGTAACCATTGGTATAAGTTGATTTTTCATAAAAACATTTTGCTTGTGTTTTAAAAAAAGAAAATAAGAATAACTGTCATTTTTGGCTGTATTAGAAAAGAAAGTGTTCGAAATGTATTTTTACATCCAGATGGTTAGGGGAATGTAATACACGCAAGTCACGAATTGGGGCTGAGCTCTGCTTAAATATTCAGCATACGCACTGCCGAACCAACCAATCCATTGCTGTGTGACTCCTTGGCTTATTAGTTTCTTTTTTTTTTTTGCCCGCATTGATTGTACTCCAAATTAGCATGCACAACTAAACTTCAGGTATACCTTCAACCCTTCTTGTGAAAATTGGTGCTTTGGAAAATATGTATTAGTACTTCACAGTCATAAGGACTATCTAACGGACTCCTACTCACAATGAAAATGAATCTGTGTTTCTGCCCATTAAAGATCATCTGTGATATCCAGGTTTGTATGTCTATGAAGCCAGTCTTTCTTTTCCCACATCAACAAATAATTCATGAGGTTTTTTTAGGACATTTTGTAATGACTGAATGCATATCTGCTGGCAAACACAGTATGTGATGGGAGGTGAAAGCCACGGTGCACCTGGTAGAAAAGGTGTGATGTCAGGACCGCCCCTGTGGGCTGCACTTGCTGGTGGCACTTTGTAATACTGATGTGGATTTGCTCTTGTAAAAAAGCACCAAACATGGGGGAGGGGGTGTGTCCCCTTGAGGCAGATGGGACAGGAAGTGGACTCAGAGGTGCGAGGACTTAAAGTGCAAGAGGGGAAAGTTCCAGCTCCTCTCAGCAGTTCCAGTGCACCATCCTGACTTGAAGAATCGAGGGGGTTAAAAACAAACAAAGAAAAGACATGGGGATGAATGGTTCAGGATAAAAACCAAGGAACGGGAGGAGGGGAGGATTTCTTTCTTTGATAAAAGTATGTAATTAGAAAGTTCTTTAAAAAAAACATGAATTGGAGCTAGGAGGGAGAAGTGGGATGCACAGAAAGGAAGGAGATCACGTTTCCTCCAGTTGGCAGATGAATCTACTATCAAGAGGAGAGAAAACATCCTTCTCCCTCAGTTGAAAAGTCAGTGAACCTGGACTGCAGCGATTGAGCAGGTGGAAGCAAAAGACAGAACAGTTTCTGAAAGGGAAGCACGTTCTCATTACAGTACTCGTGTACTGTTCTCGCATTCCCACATAGTTTGGTGTTTTGAATGTGTGTCTGAGGTTTAACACTGGGATCACTACTGATTGCACCCCTGTGTCGCTCACCCACATGTCTTTTTTCAGAGCCTGGCTCAGTTTTCTGCATTTTCATCAGTTGGTGAAGGGCGATCACATGTTGTAGGCCACGTAGATGGGGTCCAGTTGGTCTGCCAGGAAGGAGTCCCGCAGGTGCATCCTCTGCTTCTCTCCTCTGGAGTTGATGGGAATCACCCCGGGGTCCACGATGACCACCACCCCGACGATGAGGTGGTGCTCCTCCAGGACCACGTTGGTGACGAGCGGCACCAGGTCCAAGGCCTCCTGCTCCGAGCCGCTCAGCTCCGCCACCACCACCAGCAGGTTGGTCCATGTAAACACAGCACTGAGGGGAATTCAGTCACATGTTTTCTGTGTTACTGCTTGAATCAGAGGCTGTTGCCCTTCTCAGGGAGTGCGTAAAGAAAAATGTGAATGATGAAAATGACCAGTACTAACTGAAGAACCTCACCTTTCTGCGATGCTGCGGTGGGCTCGGGATACAGACGTCTCGATGTCGATGGGGTGATAGCGTAACCCCCTCAACTCCAATGTTTCATCGAGGGAGCCCACCACAAACAAGGCATCATGACGATCTGTAGATGCAAAAAAAATACGTATTTTATTATTTATAGTTATGGACCATGTCATTTCTGTATTTTTAAACTTGGGTCCTATTTTCAAATATTTTGGTGTTAAAATGGTACAAAGGGTTTTGGAACACATGCAGTAGATAGCTTCAGCCGGCAGTCGCAAACCGGCTGCTGTGGCTACAACATATTCCTTTGGGGCCATTGTGCCAATCACAATTACGTCCAACAATTACTATGAGTGACTAAAAATAAAAAATAAAAAATTATCCTTTAACTTAGGGATGTCACAAGAGCCGATACTTTGGTACTAAGTCGATACAAAAATTCTGAAGACATTTCTGTACTTTCGACAAGTGCAACTGCAGCGACTGCTCCTCCTCGACTCGTCGAAAAGAAAAATGGTAAGAGTCGTGTATGGGAGTACTTTGTGTTAACATTATAGAATTTATTAAAGGAGTGTATGCGGAAGTACATGGAAGTACATGAAATTGTATTTGGTTTTTAACGTGGTATCGAATTTGGTATGGAGAATTGTGTTTTTCAGAAACTTTTCAATCTCATGATATATGTTGATGTTGCAATATAAAATGACACATATTGTGTAAGCATATGTTATTGATATCGATAAAAGGGGCCCAAAGCAAATCACTTGTCACAGTCATAATTTCAATGTTAATAAAACAGAAAAGGCAGAGGGGCCCTGCATAAGGTCAACTTTTTTCAAATGTCCTCTCACCTCCACTTGCATCCGTTAGCTCAGTCCGCTTTATGAAACCCAGGTAGCCCGTCCTGGCCCACAGAGTGTGGGGCTCCCCAAAGCTGAGTCTGGTGTTGAAATGATCGGCCTGCAGGCTCTCCTCGCCATAGATGGTGTAGTAGCCACTGGCACTGTGAGGGCTGTTTACCCAGATCTGAACAAAGACAAAACAAACAACATGGATGTAGCCTTTTCACACTGCTCAAAAATCTGAAGTAACAGATTTTCACAGTAAATCAGAGATTTAAAAAAAATACACTCAAATGAATCAAGTGCATTTTGTGTCGAATAGCCGTGCTCATCTCACTCTGTGCAGGTGAAACCCCTCAATATTTTGCAGAATCCTAGGAGGAAAATGAAAAGGTGAAATGTTTAATTATCGGCATCCCGTGATCTACTCTGTCACACTCACCTCCCCAAGATGTGAATCTCCCAGAGGGCCTCTGGTCTCTGGGTTGACTATGATGACCCTCACTCCTGGTAGGATCTTAGAGGAGAACATAGGAAGAGATTTTAGCTTCAGGGATAATACAACGACTTCCATTACCTCTCTGGGCCTTTGGCCGGTGAGAGCATCAAACACACAAATCTTTTTAGTCAATAATCAATACTTACTGTGCCTGACTCCATGAGTGGAAGACTCTGTGGCGCTCCTCGTTCAACCAGCCTCACCCTGAGGGACAAGGACAAAAGACGGATTGTCAATTCTGTCCAATTCATAGGTGTAGAGAGCCTTACTGCATTCTTTTCAATTTTATTTCAAAATGTCACCTGGTGCCTGAATTTCCTCTACATAAATACGGACATTTCCATTTACACTGATGTACATTTCCTGCGGGAAGACCCACAGACCCTGCCCTAATGTTGAAATAAAATCTATGCCCTTGGTTCGATCTGACCGACCCACCATTGTTAGTTTTCAGCAGTGGGATCATGTGACTTTAGTTGTCTTTGTTCTGGTTACAAGAGTTTCCTGTCTTACCTATCGTGGCGCAGAGACTTCATGTCAACGTAGGAGGTGGAGGGGTCTGGTCCAGCAGTGCCCTGAGGATACACAGAGGAAAATAAACACCCTGTAATGTGACAGATCTAATTGAACCTGAAGCTTTGCTGGCCCATTTAGACAATATCAATATCATCATTTTATTCAATATCATATAATATCATTTAATCAATAGGTTATTATTGTTCAGTAATATTTAAGGTTGGAGAAGAATAAAGAAGCATGCATGTGGTAAGTAAACACTGCAGACTAAAAAATTCATACGACACACAAGAATGAGTTGAACTAGGGAAAGTAAAAATATGCAGAGTGATCTCATGAGACAATTCAGTGTGGGTCATGAGAAACCAACCTGCAGGCAGATGGCCAGGTTGACCCTGGAGCCGAAGGCGGTGCTGACAGCGCGCGGCGACAGGCCGAGATCTTTGAAGAGCTTGGAGAAGGACTGCGTGAGAGCGAGACGGGGACGCTCCTCTGCTATCACCACACAGCTCCGCACGCACGACAGATTTAGACCCCGAGCCTGGAGACATGCACGGCTAAAGGTTATTCACACTTTTAACAGCAACGTGTGGACTGAGCTTGACACACAAACATGAACTCGGCATTAGAGGACTTCTTTTTCCCCCTGTAGTGCTTTGAAGGAAAACAGAATGAGTAAAGATACTGAGCTACACTGAACAACACACACCAGAATTATGACTAGTACTAGTACGCAATTTATCTGCCATGGTCTGATCTGAATGTGCCTGAAAGTGTTGACAAAATACTGGCGTTTTCTTTGTTCCCATTTATCATTTTTGTATCCTTAGGTACACAAGTCCATTATACACAAGTCTGCAAAAACATGTCTAATTTTGTTGAGTAACTAAAGGTGACATGTATTCTAATTGGTTACTTATTGTAAGTGCAGAAAAGTCCAATTCAGTTGTTCTCATTACACCCTTAAAAAAACAAAAACAAAAATAAACTTCACAGTTCAAGTCCGACCCTTGTTGCAACGTTGTAGCAATATTTCCTGTCATCCCTCTACTAGTTTTGTTTTCTGTCCCTACTGTCAGCTCCTTAACAGAGGCATTAAATGCACAAAAACAAATAAAAACAATAATTTTCAAATTATTAAATTAGATAGGTGTTAAATTGCCTACACAGCAGATAAGGTTCCTATGCAACCCATTTTATTGTGATTTTATTGTTTATTATGAGAGTAATGACAGAGTGGTCATTTCAAAGTGCGAATGTGGCAGATTATTTTCGGTGTTTGTGAGTGCAATCCTCACCTTCAGCATCTCTGTCTGGGTGCCCAGACCTTTGGTGCAGAGCTCCATGACAGAGTAGGAGCAGAAGGTGTCTCTGATCTTGTACTGACTGAGCGTGCTCAGCCACAGAGGCAGCGAGCTCTCCAGCTCCAGGGGAGGGATAAGGATGGACTGGTGACCTGAGTAAACACTGGGGCGAAAACACACTCGTTAACAGCAACGAGGCCACATGTACAGGGGACATCACGTTATATGAAATATGATATTCAGTCTGTGTGTGTGTGTGTGTGTGTGTGTGTGGGCGTGCGTTACCTGGAGAGGCACCACAGGACGAAGCCCAAGCCACAATAGGGGTCCAGGCAGATGGCTATTTGTCGTGAGGAGTAGAGCTCACACTGCAGCTTAATGGAGCGGCACAGAGTACTGACCGCAGCGTGAGACATCTGATGTGAAATAGACAAACTCTTTAAAGATTCTGTATGCTGCAAATTCACCAAGTGCTGCCAATAAAACAATAAATATATACACACTAAAATACTATTCACGTCCTGTGACTAGAGTCTGTAACATGTATTAACTGTGTATTAATATTGCACGCCTACATTTCTAAACGCATCAACATGTGTTGCCACCTTCAGTATTGCTCACCACATCTCTGGCTAAACTGATGAGTATTTATTTACCTTCCCATGTTTTTAAGACATACTTTGAATTATAATTTGTGTCTTTTGTTTTTAAAATAAAAAAAGTTAAATCACCTTGTAAAAAATGTTTAAAATACATTAGTCCTTATTCCTCAAATCCTGATCTATGAATCTACAAATGTTGTGAAGTGAAGTGACAAGCAAAACGCATTTCTGAGTGGAGGGGGGGATGTGTTAACTCGTGTTATATATGATAAGCATGATTTTGTGAGAGTAATTTACCTTGACTCCGGTCAACATGCCTGTGGTGGACACACTGAAGTCCAGGTAGGCCAGCATCTCAGCTGTAGGGGGCTTATAAATTTGTGGAGGCCGCTTTCTGGGGAGATCATCTGGGAGAAGAGGGCAGTAACTTTTTGTTATTTTCTTACTGGACAAAAATTAATCACATACTTTCACTGTTACTGTTGGTGGTATTGTCTGCTATTGGGAATGTTTAGTGTTTTTATTGAGTGGGAAAATGGTATAATTTCAGATGTAAATGTGTTTTTTTTAATGTGCATTTTAAAGAGCTATGCATTTATTTATAACCCATCACTCCTACATCATCACAGTGCTGCTGTGTTCAGGTGTAACTTTGTTATTATAACAAAAGGTTCCATGTTTGCTGAACATATTTTGGTCAACATTAGGGTCCCCCAATGTGTTTAAAGTTAGGCAAACCAGACACCTTCTGGCCAGAAGGGGAAAACATTTTTTAATCTGAATTTATTGTGCTAAATCTGCACGCCCCCAGAGATGTGTCATAAAGGCAGTAAAGTACACAATGTCATGCTTATGTAACTGTGGTCAGCTCCTTCACATCATGCCTAATGCTTCTAATTTCAACAGATCCCAACAGAGCCCAGCACCTGTATCGATGATAGTGGGCCACGTCTTGACGTTGACGCTGGCAGCAGCCTCCCTGGACCTGAGGATCCTCATGAGAGGCTGAGTGGTGAGGATGCAGGCTGCTTTGCTCACCTGTAACACCCAGCAAACACACAAAGGACTTCATTTAACGACACAAACTACCACACTTTAACGGTGACCTCTGGTAAAAATCCTCCATTCACGAGGTGTTTCTCAAATAAAAGGCATTTAATTATCGTTAAAATTCTATTTTATTTGCTTCCCTCCAAGGAAATCAGTTATAAGGGTCAACAGCAAAACTACGTCACTGAATCTGGGTGGGATTTATTCACCGACCAATTAAAGAGTCTGAAAACAACTTGTTGTGATTTACATTAATCACTCTATTATGCTTTGGTAAAGCTTGATTGATGTAACAGAAACCACCATCAATGACACAGTGCACTCACATCGATGATCATGCGGACAGTGGGGAGAGTAGCAGCCAGGTTCTGTGGGTGCGGCGGTCGCACCGTCACAGGGATGACACCCGCATAGAGACAGCCATAGAAGGCAGCAATCAGGTCAATACCTGTAGAAAAATAAGAGACAGACGGGAATGTTGTGAACTAAAATAAAGGCAAATTAACAGTGGCATTATCTTAATGTCTGTCTACAATGACGAGGGGTGTGATTGTGTGCATTTACCTGGGGGATAAAGCAGCACCACATTGTCTCCGGTGTTGAGGCCTCCTCTCTCCATTAGGGTAGCTGTGATTTTCTCTGCTCTCTTGTGCAGCTGAGCACAAGTGGCGGTGCAAACTGGCACCCCCTACAGTAAAAACAGAGGAAGTACAGCTGAAGATACACGCAACAAAATGGATCACCATTAGTGCTATCACCAAAGGTAAAAGAACTGTTATTTGTGTCAGTATCTTTATCTTAAACACACTGATTCTTACTATTAACTGATTTCTCAGTTTAATTGGATATGTGTGTGTGTGTGTGTGTGTGTGTGTGTGTGTGTGTGTGTGTGTGTGTGTGTTTGATCTACCTTGGCATTGAGCAGCACATACAGGACATGGTCTGGGTCGGTTTGAGCTCTCCATTGCAGAGCTTCAGACAGGAACTGGTGCTGGTGAAGAGAGTGTGTCATCATATAAACATTAATGATGGACTGACTTCATGTAGTACATGTATCCCAAAATAAAAAATAAAAAAAACACACAAAAAGCTGCATCAAGTATCCATATAAAAAATGATCAACAGATAGATAAAACATAAAAGCTCGCCTAAAAACAGTCACCGTAACTGCGTTTCATACATCATCCAGCCAAAAATTAACAGACCTCTCACAGACAACAGATACATTTGTTTACTTAAAAAAAACTGACTCAGTGCGGAATAGAGAACAGGAAACATCTTAAAGTATGTCATTGATATTCTGTGATGCTTTTCACCTCTCACACAGAGACACATAAGCACACAACAGGAGTATGGAAGTGTCCAGAGAAATGTTGATTTTGTTTGTTTTTTTGCCAAGTGCAATGTCATGCTGGGACCATCTGCACCTGGAAGGAGGCAAATTGGAGCCACTGACAAAAACTAAGAAGCTACGGCCCTTCAAAACAAATGGTCATGACAATTTTGAAATGTTTCAACATTTTAGTGCCTCGGTGTACTATTTCTCAAACCAAAGGAACAATCCACTGGCTATTTTTACAATTAATTACATAGGCAATATTAAATGCATTATAAACATTTTGATCAGTAGTGTCAATAAGCTAAAGGAACTGGCCAGTGTACAGGACCAAAAAAGACAGGAAAGCAAAGATGTACTTTTAATATTAAGCAACACATAAAGTAACAAAATAAAAAACGATCTGTGTACAAACAAACATAATATACAGCAGTGTCACATATTGGCGTCTCTCTCTCTCTCTCTCTCTCTCTCTCTCTCTACAGGTCGTGCTCTGGTCAACAATGAAAATCAGGAAGTCACATCATGCACACCGGCTGTCTGGACAACTCATCAAGCCATGCTACACGTGGGGGCATCACAGTGAACACAGCGAGCAGAGGTGCACAGCAAATTTGTTCCTAACTAATGCTTTTATTCTTGGGCTTATTAAGACATTAGCATTATGTATCACAGTATATGATGACAAGATCTTAAATGGTTGCATATGCCAGGAGACTCTTTCTAATCACTTCCTCAGAGTCTGTTATTACTTCTTTAAACTAAGAAAGACAAAAAAAACTTTATTCAATATAAATGTATATGGTCAGTTAATCTACTGCTGAGTGTTTGGTTTGGCAGAGCTAGAAGGCTGCTGGCCAACTCCCATTTTAAAAGGTGATGAAGGTCATTTATGGGCGACTGATAAATGGAGAACCGCACTTAACTTAATTTTTAATGTATTAACTGTATATTAGTTTAAGTGTGTGGACCCCTGCTGGCCAAGGAGCCAGGTTGGACAGTCATCTCTGTGCGTCGGGCCAAAGCTGTTGCTGGTGGCCGTTGGGCTATCACGGATGCAAAAGCACATCGTGACTGACAGAAGCAGCAGAAGCAAAGACGGGTGGGGGCCAGACTAGAGCCTTACCATCATGGTGGGCCACATACAGAGCTAAAGCCCAACCCAAGCGAAGTAAAGGCAGAACAACAATAGTTTTAGGATAAGACATCAGCATCCACTTTCCCCTGTTACAGGGGTCATCTTTAACTCAGTAAACACATTTACAGCAATTTCTGTTTCATTTGAAAATATTTCTTTTTCTTATAGTAGGGTTGGTACTAAAGATTATTTTCATGATAACTGAATTCGGTTATTTTCTTGATTAACATCACAATTTCCTAAACTTGTGTTGACCAACAGTCCAAAACAGGAAAATATTCAGATTACAATAATGTTAACATAACATTTGAGAAGCTGAAACCATCACATATTTGGCATTTTCGCTTCATAAATCACCCAAACAATTATCAAATAGTTGCTGTTTATTAACGGACTAACCATTGGAGCTCTAATATACTGTAGCATGTTATATACAGTGACTAAA